TTTTTGTTTTCATCAAGCATTTATGCCTTGAAGTTGCACAGGAAATAGTGCAATAGCAGTGGAACAGTGTAAGTGCATTCAAAGCAGAATAAATACTTGGTGTGGAAAGAGTACAGCATTACTACCTGAATAAAAGCATGAATGATGCTTTATGTTTTACCATGTGAACCGTTCCCTTATTAAAAAAATTAGGGAGATTGCCAGCCCCTAAACTGCCCATAAATTAAGATTTTTCTCTGTTCTTGCTACCTTATAGAGGAAAATAGAATTCCATATCTTTTGCAAAGAGTTGTCTGTAGAAACTACCCAACAACTTCAGTGTTTAATAGAGAACTGTATGTTTCTGCAGCTTTTCAAAAAACACAGAATTATGTAGCATATACTGTTCTTATTGCACTGCAGCAATTCTGCAGGAATCCTTCAGTAAGGTCACCATTTTGTGTTTAATTTTATGGGCTTCTCTATGAATGAAGTCCATCTGTGTATACTGTACATGAATGTAACCATAGTATATCAACTTTTTATTTATGCTTATCTATGTAGATTTTGTAAATTTTGCAAGTAGAATCTTGAATAACCTTTCCACAGAAGAAGGATATTAGCAAAACAAGATAATTTTGAATCCAATTTAAATTCACAAGGTGATATATATATGTGTGCATATATATATAAATAAAGTATCAAAGTTTGTAGTAGATGAGTGACACAGAAAACATTATGTACTGTATGAGAGCTAACAGTAGTGCTGAATGCACTGATAAAGAGCTACAAATATATTTGAAGAACAAATTACTTCTGACCTTACTCAAAATTTATGCCATCTAGTGTTTATCAGGAATACAGCAATGTATGTGTGGTAAGGGATGAGTAGCATGCAGCCTGCTCTTGAAATCCAGGTGGGCCACAGTGCACCCAGCTGAGGACGTAGGTGTGCCTTCACATCTTCTAGCCTCCACTGCTGCGTGATGGAGTGCCAGCTTTACTGCTAGTGTTTATAATATGTTGTTAGGACGAAAGAAGTCCTACTTTATTTTTGTGCAATCAGTGCTGCTACAACAAAAGTGTTAATAAACTTAGAATCACAGTCCTTACTTACAAAAATGGCTTGAATAACACAACGTCCAGACGGAATTGGTCCATTGTTCAGGTGAGTTTACGCGTAGATTTTTATTTTTTTTTAATAATAATAAAAAAAAAAAAGGGGGGGGGGGGGGGGAGTCTCTGCTTGCTTGTTTGTAGAAAAATATCGCCCCCTGCTGGATTTGTAAGAATGACTCAATTTTTACCATTGTAAATGGGACATGAAGTTACAATAAAACCACAGTTTGTACGGAATCCTTATGGTAATTTCACCCTCCTGGACAGCTAAATTCTACCAGAACCACTCTCCCACCCCGCCTCCTTAAGGGAAAGGGGTAGGGAAGAAAGTGTGATGAGAAAGGAAAAGGCTCACAGGTTAAGATAAGGAGAATTTAATTAAAGGGAAAAGAAAGAGAAAGAGAGAGAGAGAGAGACAGAGAGAAAAGGCTGTGCAGAAACGAAGAGATAGAAGAAGCAATTATTCTCTATTTCCCATGAATGAGTGATGTTTAGCCATGTCCTGGGAAGCAAGGCCTCAGTATGTGTAACAATTATTTGGGAGGACAACTTGTCCTTGTCCTTGTCCTTGTCCTTGTCCTTGTCCTTGTCCTTGTCCTTGTCCTTCTCCTTCTCCTTCTCCTTCTCCCTCTCCTTCTCCTTTCTTCCTTTTTCTCTTCTCCTTTTTCTTCCCCTTTTCCTTCTCTTTCTCCTTCCTTTTCTCTCTCTCCTTTCCCTTCTTTTCCATCCCTTTTCCCACATTTTATTGCTGAGTGTGACACCACATGGTATGGAATATTCCTTCGGTCATTTTAGCTCAGCTGCCCTAGTGATGCCTTCTCCCCACCTCTTGCCACCTCCAGCCTGCTGGCTTTGTCCAGCTGGGGAGAATCCTGATGCTGTGCCAGCACTGCTCAGCAATAGACACAACACTGGTGTGATACCAGTGCTGTTCTAGCTACAAGTGCAGAGCACAGCACTGTATGGACTGCTGTTGGGAAAGTAAACTCCATCCCAGCCAGATGCAGCATAACCTCCACCCTTTACACCGTGCTATTTGTGTCATATTCAGATTCCACATACTCTAGTACATTTGTATGATCTGATCATTGTTCCATCCAACACACAGATACGTACATTCACATCACCACTATTCCCTGTCCTTAACAGATATATTTTCCCCATCCTATAAGCCTCTCCCCAAAAGTCCATAAGAAGCGGCAAGGACTTTGGCCTCATTCTGCCAAGGTGGTCACTCAGAACAGGAGAAACAGGATGGATGCCAGCATCAGCTTAGATTGAGTCATTGTTGACCTTTCCTTGTTCCTTGCAAAGATGACCTGTCATTGGTTCTGCAGTGTCTTCCTGCAACACATAATTCAGATTACAGACTATATTCTTCCCAAGATTAAATGTCCTTGAGGCACGTACCTGATATCTCCACCCTTTCACATCACCTAAAAAGTGCACCCAGGTCCTTGGGCAAAGACAATCTCACGAATAGCTCTGCCTTTGTGACTCCTGATGTTCCCTTTCAGAAATCCTGCTGAATCCTGCGGTGTTCTGTGGGCAGCTCTGATTAGCCAAACTACTGCCATGTTCCCTCTGTACCATAGTGAAAAGCTGGAAAATGACAATTTTAGGGCTATCTCTGGAGCTTGTGTACTTCAGCCTCCTACACATGATGAATGAGGTTTTAAGTTTTAGTCTGGAGAAGAGGAGGCTCAGGGGAGACCTTATTGTTCTCTGCAACTACTTGACAGGAAAGTGTGGGGAGCTGGGCGTCAGCCTCTTCTCACAGGTAACTAGTGATAGGACTAGAGGGAATGGCCTCGAGTTGTTCCAGGGGAGGTTCAGGTTGGAAATTAGGAGACTTTTCTTCTCAGAAAGAGCAGTCAGTCATTGGAACAGGTTACCCGGAAAGGTGGTGGAGTCACCGTCCCTGGGGGTGTTCAAGGAAAGGTTGGGTGTGTTGCTTAGGGACGTGATATAGTGGGTGACATTGGTAGTAGAGTGATGGTTGGACTGGATGATCTTGCAGGTCTCTTCCAACCTTAATAATTCTGTGATTCTGTGTAAAACAACATTTTTGTTCTCACAGTTCTCCCCTTCCTTTCTTTTATAATTTGTTGATTTTTGCAAAACTCTCTCTAAGGTGTAATTTGGTAGATATCTTCCTCTTCTTCCCTTCCTTCGCTTTCTATCTCCTCTAATATCATCTTATTTGAGTAAGGTGGTGGCTCCATGGTCGTTTGTTTCAGTAGTGCTCTTTCAATTAACTGCTGGACCAGTTATCTCACACAGGAGATAATGTAACAACCAATGGGTGTCAAAACTCCTGCTACTATGATCAAGGATGTAAATATGGACATTACCATCACTTTCCATTTACCAAACCAAGGTTCCAACCATCCTGTGATGGAAGTGTCCCTGAGCTTTCTGAAAATTCATCAGCAAGGATGGTAAGCCTTGCAATGCTCTAGCTACTGTGTCATCTGGGACAGTGTTGTTGGGGATAGACGTGCAACAACGGTTGCCCAGTGTTACACACACATCTGCCTTCTGTGTGAGCATCATATCTAATCCTATTCTGGTTTCCCAAGCCATTCCACTGGTGGCATCTAGTTGTTCAGCAATTCCTCTTATTGCATCCCTTGTGTAACTTATGAATCTCTTGATTTCAATAAATGTAATTGATCCAACCCATTTTTTGTTGATTATTACCCACCAGAACAGTGATGACTCAGACCTGCAGCAATTTGATTTCCAGCTTTGTGTTCATTGGGAACTCCTCTAGGAGTTCTATGAATCTATGTATACTCCTTCATCAAATGGCATTCCTAAACTTCTTCTACTTCTTCTGGATACATGTGATGGTGCTCTTTCAAATGCCAGACTGAAAGGTATAGCTAACTGAACAAGTGCACTGATGCCTACCCAGTTAGATAGTAGGGTGGACCATAAGATCTTCCCTCCACAGAGTACCACCAGAAATCTGCCCTGGGGATCTCAAGTCTTGAGTAGTTTCCTATCAAGTCCTTGGTAAATTTCAGGGTCCCAGTGCACAACACAAATTCTCACAGATGGCGGGTAGCATTCACGCCGTGCAGTGAGAAGCAAGCTATATGGTTACCTACGGCTGTGGAGAATACAGGGGGAATCCTGGTATCTCTGACATGCAACGAGGGGAATAACAGAGAGACTTACAGGCCTCGTTTCCCCAGGCAGTCTTTTCTTGGTACAATGCAATCATACATTGCATCCCCTGGGAATCCTTGCTCCACCCCAATTGGAAGGGCACTATCTGCGCAATCAGTCACCCTGAGGCACAAGCACAGCAATTGCTGTGGTTGAGACTCTGGACTGTATATCTGACCAGGCATTCACATCCCCATAACCCATTTCAATTTCAAATGTTTGCCTCAGATCTTTTATTTCCTTAACTGTGACAACTGCTAGATTTTGAAGAGGACCTCCTGCTTCCTTCTCAAGCCTATCCCTGTTTTTAGTGACATTGGAAGACGGTTCCCACATAGCTATCCTAAATCTGTCTGCTGGACCTTTCCCTGTCACATTTGCTCTGAAACCAAAAGTATGGTTAATATGGTCATCAGCCTTATTAATTGTTATAATTATGAGATTACATTATAGAAGCTGACAGTTGGACTGAACAGTTCCTTTAAATATGCTAATTTGGCTCTTTAACCACTTTAAGGTATCACTTGGACTGGGTGTATACGTTCACACTTTACAAGTGGTTGTCCACCATACGTTACTCCATCCTGGGCAAGGGGGTCCTTTAAACAAACCATTAGTCTTAGATTCAGGACAGAGAGATTTGTTAATTTGATAAACATTTGATAATGTTTACCATTACCATTGTGTGAGAAAAAAAATCTCAATAATTTTCTTCAGACAGGATCTTCTGTGAAACTATTTTATTCGTGATTGCAATGGCAGGTGTCCCACAAGCAGGAGTGCACAGTAAAAGTTTATCATAACACTATACTCCCTATTACCTGACACCTGATTTCTCCCTTGTTTCCTCATTGGCTGAGTACTACAGGTTCACAACCTACTCAACACACTTTTATACCATATATGTACAGTTTAATCAGATTAATTTGATCAACCATTGATTCCTCTTTTTCCTTTTTTTTTTTTTTTTTTTTTTTTTTTTCCCTTCTTCTCTCATGACTGGAGGGCCTGTGATTTTTGTTCTTACTGATTTTGTACTGCTCATCCTGTTTTTCCTTATCTATTTCCATCCCCCACCCCTCTGCTTCTTTTTCTCCCTCTTCCAGGGAGTGTTTCCTGAAATCACTCTAATTCTCTGTAATTCAATCCATTTTACTCATTAATTCATTATGAATTCTTCTAAGGAGAAGTTAAAGGTTTACAATAAATAGTTTTGACAGTTTTAACCTTAAAAGTCTTTGTTAACACAGTGTCTCAGGTATCGGGGTTAACTGATGCTTTTACCCAGGTGTGAGTCCTCCCTTTCTCAGCTGTTCTTCCTGCCATCTCAGTACTCAGGAGCACTTGGAACAGTCCATCCCACTCAGGTTGCAGCTTTCATTCTCTCCATGTTCCAATCTGCTTGGATTAGATGGATCAGGGCTTCCAAGGGTGGAGTTTGAGCTAACAGTCTGTAGGTCCTGAGAGATGATAAAGAGGACAACAGCCCAAGTATATAGCTCTTAAGAAAAGCATCTTTTGTCTCAAATTGAGGTAATTCATTCCCTTTGTCCAGGTACAGCAATCCAAATAATATTTCATGTGGTGAAATTCCCACATCTTTTCTTGGTGCAGTTTGAATTCAGAGAGGTGCCAAAGGTAAGCACTTTGTTTGGGGAAGCTGAGTTTCCAGAGTTTAGTCAATTGCTTCTTTACTGTCTGATCTGCTCCATCCTTCCAGAAGAGGAAGAATGCCAAGGAGTGTGAAATTTCCACTTAATTCCTAGAGTCCACGTTAGCCCTTGCAATATTTCTGATATAAAGTGATTTCCTTGATCAAAGGCAGTATTCTCAATAATTCCATACCTGGGAATTATTTGTTCTAGAATTACTTTAGTTACTATGTTCGCAGTAGCAGATACTGAAGGGAAAGCTTCCAATAACCCTGACAAATGATCAACCAAGACTAATAAGTATTTAAATCTGCCTACTCTTACGAGTTCTGTAAAATCTACCTACACCTTTTGGAAGCATTGAATTCCTGGTTCTCACCCCCATTTGGGCTGACTGTGAATAATTTTCCTATTTAGCTTTTGACATACTACACAGCTCCTGCATACTTGTTCAGCCAGAGTACATATAATCCTACACATACATATTTCCATAGCACAGCATCACGCATTGCTTGAATTTCCCAATGACCTTACTGATGCAAAACAGTTAATATTTGCCTCGCTATCACTTTATTCAGCATTTCTCTCACCAGGGAGTAACTGTTTTCCATTGGACTTCGTGACTCTTAATTCCTTAAAAACTTCTTTCTCTTCATACTTTTTCATTCTTTTTAGCTTTCGGTAGGGGTAGCTCAACAATTCCAGAATCCTCTCTGGATTTATTCTATGTTCTCACTCAAACACTAGATGCCCTAAATACTTGACTTTTCATTCCACGTATTGCAATTTATTTTCCAATACTTTCAAGCCCTGTTTTCCCATAAAGTTGAATAGTTTGTTAGTAGCTTCTTTCACAGCTGTTTTCTTCTGTTCTGACAATAAAAAATCATCCACATATTGTAAGAGTAACACCTCCTCAGGAGGCTGGAATTACTCCAAAATTTGTTCTAGAACTTGCCCAAATAAATTCAGTGGCCCTGTAAATCCATGAGATAAAATTGTCCATCTGTATTGTTGCTTCTGCCCCATTTCAGGGTCTTTCCTCTCAAAGGCAACCCATTAATAACACCGTTATTCCAGTCTAACAAGTCACTATTTGAATGCCCACTTTCATTATCAAATCCTTTCCCAACAATATAGTCCCTGCCTCGGGTACATACAATAATTGCCCAGTGAGCATTCTGTCCCTAGACTCAGCTTGGTGTCACCCAAGAGTAGTACTGTTATCCCAGCCCCCTCTACACCCCATTATATTTAGGGTTTCATTAGTTAATTCAAGCCCTGGTACTCTACAGGCTAGCTGCCCCAGTGTATTGGGTTTATGTGGCAAGATTCTGGTAGTAGAGGGGCTACAGTGGTAGCCACTGTGAGAATAAGGGCCAGTGTCAGCCGCTTCCAAAGGGGTCCACTGCTGCCCAGAGGCAAACCATGAGCAATGCAGTTTGTTCCTCTGTGAGAGCACATCCAAAAAAAGGGAAAAAAACTAGAAAAAACTGCTGCACAACAGCAGCTGGGAGAGCAAAGAGTGGGAAACCTCCCTGCAGACACCAATGTCAGTACAGAGGTGCACCAGGCGATGCTTCAGGAGTCATTAATGCCTTCATATCTTCATCTTCCTGCTTGTCTGATGGGCCAGCCACTTCAGAGTAGCCTGCCTTGCGCTCTTCTCCCCTTTCTTAGTAGGAGTTCCTCTGCTTTCTAAATGACCTGACTTTCTCATCCATTGTTTCATCTTGCATATAGGAGCAACAGATGCTGTCACTGTTGGATGCCTGGCCTGGCAGTGGGGCCTTTCACTGGGACTGGAATGGCTTTAGACCATGGCTGTCAAAGGGTTGTAGTGGTATTGATTGCGGTTTTGGAGGCATAGGCCAAGACCTGGCATCTTGGCCAGTTTTTGTTACTTTGGCATTTTTTGTTACTTTGCTTCTTTAGACTAGCTTCCAAAAGCTACAGCTTATGAGTGTATCCTTTGCTTACTCAGTTGAGACAAACATATACCAGTTTCATTTCTTCATACTGTTTTTTGACCTATGAAATCAAACTTTATTATGCTAAATAATAGAGCATAAGGGACATAATACATTTTGTGAATAAGAGTGGACTTTTGGACTCTGTCCCTGAAATTGCTCCTGGAACTGGGCCAACCCTTTGGGAGCCAGAGGACCTGTCTGCCTGCATGGAGGCTAGCAGGTGCTGCAATGGGCTAGTCTCAGCACCGTCATGTTGTGGATGTCACCAGCTCAGGCCAGGCTATTTTGGGGCACATGGTGTGAGCAGGCAGGTTGTTGTCGGTAATGGTGAGTCCAGAGTCTGCTTCAGGGGCTCAGGTTACACAGCAACAAAGAGGAAAAACTGTTAAAAGAGACGATAAGCCAGGAATCCACGTGGCCCTGGCAATTGAAAAACCAACGTACCAAAAAACAACAAGAAGAAGAAACCACAATGATTTTCTCTGAGAAGTGTAAGGTCTTTGTAGAAACATAGGAAGAAGGAACAAAGGAAGGGAGAAAACAAGGAAACAATGTAAGAAGGAAACAGGGAAGGAAAGAGACAAGGAAACAAGGAAGGAAAGAAAGAGAGAAAGAGAGAGAGAGAGAGAGAAAGAAAGAGAGAGAGAGAGAGAGAAAGAAACAAAGAAAGAGAGAGAAAGAGACAGAGTGGAAACCTCTCTTGCTGTGCAGTGCTGGTGCTCTTTTCCCAATGCTGAGAGCAACCGAGGCTGAACCGACTCAGAGAAACAATTTCAGCTGCTGCTGCCAAGATTGCCTTGCATTTGCAGGAAAAAGTCCTCACTTGCACTGCCAAACTTCTGCAACACCACTTCTGGGAGAAGGAAGTGCAGCTCCTTTTGCCAAGGACCAGAAGCGCCACTGGCTTTGAAGAGCACAGCTGCCGAAGGCACTGCCTCGAGCTCCCAGCACTGTCCTCCTTGCCACCGGCCACAAAGGAGCAACGCCGCTTGGAACCAAGGAATCCTTTGAGAGATAAGCATTCTTATGCTGCAGCAAGCCGTGGACATGCTCCCCAGACGGGGCATTTGGCAGCCTTGCCTTTGCCTTACAAGAGACATTCCTCAAGCTCCTCTTGAAACTCACATGACATAAACCACCCTGACCGCCGGGAAACCACTGTGGACGACTTGGCTCAGCCGGAAGGTTGGGCGGCTTCCTGAGACACCTCTTGCCGCAGACTATCAGCGGCCCCTGTCACCGCTCCCAGGCTTCCAAGAACCTCCCACCAGTCCTACCCTCCAGCAGGCAGAACGCCCCCGCCTCCTGCCAAGTACGCCTTCTCTTGTGACTGGCAGCCCAAACCGGCCTCTGTGTCTAGCTTCTGCAGTGGCCATGGGAACAAGAAATCCCCCCCCGTGCAACACACTGGGGGCCGACATTTTATGGCGAGGGGGGAGCGCTCTTCTCACCGTGCCTCTCTGATTGGCTGCGTGCTGTTCGAGCCACGTGCCCTGCGCTCGCCCGCTGATTGGTGGCCCGCTGCCTTTCAGCCAGGATCCGCTATATGTGAATATAGCTATCTACGATGCATGCAGTCTATGCTTGTATGGAAACGTGTATGTGTATCCAGAAATAAATACAAATGTCTGTATATATAGAGAGTGGTTTTCTACACAGGCAAACTATTTTGTATAGTTGTATAAATTTATTTGATTACCTGTAATCTTATATGCATGTTTGCATTTCTGAAAACACACAAAATAAATACCTGTGTATCTCCAAACAATCAGTGCAGAGGATATAAATATCTCGTGCTAAGACCTAGTGATAGGTCTTAATAATTTATTATTCACATAATAAATTTTGTGAATAAGAGTGTACTTTTGGACTCTGTCCCTGAAATTGCTCCTGGAACTGGGCCAACCCTTTGGGAGCCAGAGGACCTGTCTGCCTGCATGGAGGCTAGCAGGTGCTGCAATGGGCTAGTCTCAGCACCGTCATATTGTGGATGTCACCAGCTCAGGCCAGGCTATTTTGGGGCACATGGTGTGAGCAGGCAGGTTGTTGTCGGTAATGGTGAGTCCAGAGTCTGCTTCAGGGGCTCAGGTTACACAGCAACAAAGAGGAAAAACTGTTAAAAGAGACGATAAGCCAGGAATCCACGTGGCCCTGGCAATTGAAAAACCAACGTATCAAAAAACAACAACGAGAAGAAACCACAATGATTTTCTCTGAGAAGTGTAAGGTCTTTGCAGAAACATAGGAAGAAGGAACAAAGGAAGGGAGAAAACAAGGAAACAATGTAAGAAGGAAACAAGGATGGAAAGAAGGAAACAATGAATGAAAGAAAGAAGGAAACAAGGAAGGAAGAAAAGAAAGAGAGAGAGAAAGAAAGAGAGAAAGAAAGAGAGAAAGAGAGAGAGGAAAGAAAGAAAGAGAGAGAGAGAGAGAAAGAGAGAAAAAGAAAGAGAGAAAGAGAGAGAGAGAGAGAGAGAGAGAGAGAGAGAGAGAGAGAAAGAAAGAAAGAAGAAAGAAAGAAAGAAAGAAAGAAAGAAAGAAAGAAAGAAAGAAAGAAAGAAAGAAAGAAAGAAAGAAAGAAAGAAAGAAAGAAAGAAAGAAAGAAAGAAAGAAAGAAAGAAAGAAAGAAAGAAAGAAAGAAAGAAAGAAAGAAAGAAAGAAAGAAAGAAAGACAGGAGGAAGGAAGGAAGGAAGGAAGGAAGGAAGGAAGGAAGGAAGGAAGGAAGGAAGGAAGGAAGGAAGGAAGGAAGGAAGGAAGGAAGGAAGGAAGGAAGGAAGGAAGGAAGGAAGGAAGGAAGGAAGGAAGGAAGGAAGAGAGTGGAAACCTCTCTCTCTTTTGGGTGGAAACCGGAGGCTATGATGAGGTCTCCCCTCAGCCTCCTCTGTTCTAGGCTGAACAAACCAAGTGACTTCAACAGGTCCTCATACATCTTGCCCTTTGCACCCTTCTTCATCTGCATAGCCATCCTTCGGACATTCTCTAATAGGTTTGAGTCCTTCTTAGATTGTGGTGCCCAAACCCATACGTGATACTCAAGCGGAGTCTGCACAATCACTGATTAGAGTGGCACAATGCCTTCCTGCAACATTCTGATTGTGAATTCTGATGGTGAATCTGGGTGGCAACATTGCCGGTTGTCTGCTTGCACAACCATAAAATCCCACAACAGGGATTTATTTCGAAAATTTATAAGGGATAACTGTTATTGAATAAAGGAAAAAATATTTAAATACAGGTAAGCTTGCAATTTATATATACCCCTTCAATAATTATGAAATAATAGTTAAGGACAATAAAAATCACAAACTAATAAGGATTCTTCTGGTGTGGATTAAAGACCCCTTCCCTCCCTTCTCCCCCCTCCCCCCCCATTCTCCCTCTTCCAGGGAGTGTTCTCTGGAAACACACTAATTCTGTATAATTCAATCCCTTTTACTCATTTATTCATTATGAATTCTTCAAAAGAGAAGTTAAAGGTTTCCAACAGGTAGTTTCAACAGTTTTAAACTTAAAAGACTTTGCATAGGCCAAGACCTTGCATCTTGCAGTGATTTGTGTCTCTTTGGAATTGCCCAGATTATGACACACCTTTTCAAACATTATAGCAGTTTTTAGGATTCTGCACTTGTTCAGGGGTGAAGTGCCAAAGCATTGGAGGTGCCCTCTGCTGGAGGTGCCTGCCCATACCCTCCCACACTCCCTGCCACTCCTAACTATCCTGCCTCAGGAGAGGTCTGTGGATGGCATTCCTAAGTAGTAATTTAACCTCAAACAAATCCTGAAACACATTCAGGAGACATAACAATAGGAACATGCTGGTTTGAACATCCCAAAGATATTCTAATTTAGAAGAGCTATCATACCTGGCGTGGAAGAGAAGGGGGAGGTGAAGGAGAAAGGGAGAGTGAAGAAGTGGGGAAAAGTATTTCCACTTATCCCTCCCTGAGGAGAAAAGTTAAAAAGTGGAATTATTAATAGTTTCTGATATATACTTTCTTTAAGTATGAAGGTGACATCAATACTGAGTACAAATGCCAAATTAGTCTCATGACCAGTAATTTTATTGTATCATAAGCCAGTCTTACACTGTACAGCAAAATAATAACCTTAAACCAGCCCCTAGAAAGGATAAACAGTACAACAGGGAACACATACAGTAATGTGCTATATAACACAATTTTGAAGACAGGCACATCAGACCTGAGATCAAAGAATTGAACACTGTGATTAGCAACTGTTAAACTGATCTAAGGCTTATAATAATATTAATGTGATGTGGTCAGACCTGTGGTTATCTCAACACTATGAGCCTCACATTGAATCACAGAATCAAAGAACGGCTTGGGTTGGAAGGAACTTCAAAGATCATCTAGTTCCAACCCCACTGCCATAAACAAGGGTGCCACCCACTAGATAGGTTGCTCAGGGCCTCATCTAACCTGGTCTTGAACACCTCCAGGGATGGGGCATCCAAAAGCGCACTGGGTAACCAGTTCCAGTGCCTCACCACCCTCTGAGTGCAGAATTTCCTATTAGAATTAGAATTTAAATTCTAATCTAAATCTCCCCTGTTAGTTTGAAACCATCTCCCCTCATCCTGTCACTATCTCATTGAGAAGAGAGTTGCTCTCCATCTTTTCTGAGTACTGAAATGTTGCAATGAGGACACCCCAGAGCCTTCTCTTCTACAGCCTGAACAGCCCCAGCTCTCTCAGCCTTCCTTCGTAGGAGAGGTGGTCAAGCCCCTTGATCATCATTGTCGCCCTCCTCTAGACCCGCTCTAACAGGTCTACATCCTTCTTGTAGAATCTGGGGGCTCCAGACCTGGATGCAGTACTCCAAGTGGGACCTCACAAGGGCAGACGGAGGGGGACAATCACCTCCGTCCACCTGCTTGTCATTCCTCTTTTGGTGCAGCCTAGGATACAGCTGGCCTTCTGGGCTGCAAACATGCACTGCTGGCTCATGTCAAGCTTTTTGTCCACCAGAACTCCTAAGTTCTTCTCTGCAGGGCTGCTCTCAATGAATTACTCTCCCATTCTGTACTCATGTCTGGGATTGCCCTGACTCAGGTGCAGCACCTTGCAGTTGGACTTTTTGAACCTCATTAGGTTCAAGTGGGCTTAATTCTCAAGCTTGTCCCGGTCCCTCTGGATGGCATCCCTCCCTTCTGTTGTATCAACCACACCACTCAGTTTGGTGTCATCTGCAAACTTGCTGAGGGTGCACTCAATCTCACTGTCTCTGTCATTGATAAAGATATTCAACAGTACCTGTCTCAGGCCAGTCCCCTGAGGTACACCACTCATCACCAGCCTCCACAGAGACATAGAGCCCTTGACCACTGCTCTCTGGGGGAAACCTTCAATCTAACTCCTTATCCACTGAATGGTCCACGCATGAAAACCATCTCTCTCCAATTTGGAGACCAGGATGTCATGTGGGACCATGTCAAAGGCCTTGCAGAAGTCCAGGTAGATGACATCGATTGGTTTTCCTTTGTCAACTGATGCAGTCAATCCATCATAGAAAGCCACCAGATTGGTCAGGCATGATTTACCCTTGGGAAGCCATGTTGGTTGTCTCGGATCACCTCTTTGTCTTGCATGTGCCTCAACATTGCATCCAAGAGGATCTTTTCCGTGATCTTGCCAGGCACAGAGGTGAGGCTTACTTGTCTGTGGTTCCCCGGGTCCTCCTTTCTACCCTTTTTAAAAAGGGGAGTGATGTTGCCCTTTTTCCAGTCACCAAGGACTTTGCATGACTGCCAGGACTTTTCAAATCTGATGGAGAGATAATTCCTTCAGGACCCTTGGATGTATGTCATCAAGCCCCATAGACTTGTGTATGTTTAGTTTCATCAGGTGGTCTCGAACCTGCACTTCACTTACAGAGAGTGGGACTTTGCTCCCCCAGTCTCCATCTACAGGTTCAGGGAAATGAAAGACTTGGGAAGCCTGACTATCAGTGAAGACTGAGGCAAATAAGTTGTTGAGTACCTTAGCCTTTTCCATGTCTGTCATTACCAGTTCACCCTTCTCATCCCATCAGAGGGGGTACATGCTCCTTGGACTTTTTTTTTTTTTTTTTTTTTTCCTGAGCAACGTGCCTTTACTGTTATTACCCATCCCTTACTGTTGTTCTTTGCATCCATTGCCAAGCTCAGTGTTGTCCATGCCTTGGCTTTCCTTATCCCATCCCTGCACATCTGGACTGCCTCTCTCTACTGTTCCCAGGCCACGTGTTCCTGCTTCCACTGCCTGTGCATTTCCTTCTTGTGCCTCAGTTTGACCAGCAGGTCCTTGCTCAGCCATCCCGCTTTTCTGCCCTCCCTGCCCGCTTTTTTACGCAGGGAGATGGAGATGTTCTTGCACTCTAAGGAAAAC